ATTCCCGGAGAATTTCTATAGAAATTTAAAAGACCTATCTGAAACGTTTAGTAAATTTTCGGGTCTGCCACTAAAAGACTACGAAATAATCCCGTAACTTTTCTGGAAACTGTAAAATCTAACAGGAAGTTCACGAATCATCATGCCCCAGAATTTTAACGTAATATTTAAATTTTACGTGTTTTTTCCAGATAGTTTTCATCAGACTTTCCTGTCCTTGAATTAAAATCGTACGCCGAAAATCCTCCAGCGGATTTTCATGAATTTCTTCACTATTACAATAAAATATTCTATTTCCAACCTGTTGTTGCCTTTTTTGACTCGTTGTTTACAACAAAAAAACACTATTTTTCAATTTTTTTATTTTAATTTTTTTTATGATTTTTTTCTTAATAAATTAAAAAATAAATTCTTATCGTGCAAAAATGAGATAAGATAATGATTCTGGAGGGGTTCAAGTAATGATTTCTGCAATAAAATTTGAGGATTACACGGTTGAGTAACAACTATGACGCATTGGTAGAAAACTATTTTTCAATTTTTTAAATGATTTTTTTTTAAATAAATCTTGAATTAAATTTTTATCGTGCAAAAATGAGATAAGATAATGATTCTGGATTGGTCCAAGTAATGATTTCTGTAATAAAATTTGAGGATTACACGGTTGAATAACAATTATGATGCATTGGTAGAATATTCATGAATTTTTAGGACTTAAGGAATGTCCCGTGGCGGATAAAATGGTGTTGGGATTTTGGATATACCTTTCTGTTCTCATGACTTCCTGATATCCTCGTGAAGCGCCGCAGCGCCACGCGTCACGGCGAGCACCACCGCAACGCGAGGCGCCCGTACGCCTGACACCGCGACGCAACCTGCGCCGATCTAACCGCTCAATGAATGCTTCACCAGGAGGGGATAAAGAAAAGTAGGATAGTAGAGATGACGTCACCTGTGACAAACTGTCACATAAAAAAACATGACTGTCATGTGACCTCCATGGAAGGTCACCTCTGCGCGTGTCAATAAAACGGTCAGATAATAATACTTTCATTTTCGCAAATAAAGCCGTAC